GAAAAACGAAGAGTCCGATTAAGCTTCAGGCCGCTTCCTGATGGACACAGATAGAGCCACAAACAAGCTGATGTGCCAGGCAGGTAATAGTGAATGCACTGGAGTGACAATCGGTTTTTTAAAAAGTTTTTGTTTTTTTTAATTTACCACAACAATACAGAAGTGCTTTGCCACTGCCTTCTTCCAGGACAGTTTTTTGTCGTCCCACTCTAGTCTTCAGCCCAGGGATTTCCTGGTGGTCTCCCATCCAGGTACTAATTAGATCCAACGCTGGTTAATGTCCCCACCCATACAGCATCTCTAAGAAGTGCAGCAATGTATAAACAGAACCTCCTTTGTGTAAAAAAAAAAAAAAATCGGAATTCTTCATTGCATCTAGATGAAAGGCAAGTACTCATTCCCCATTCCAAGAGAAATGCTGCATGAGAAATCTGAATCGAGCAATTCCCTAAAATCAATGAATATAAGAAATACGAAAAACAATTGAATTATTGTGGATTATCTGTGCAATCTGCAAAGTTTCTGAAGTGATGTTTATAATCTAGCATACTAATTCTTCACTGCTTTTCCTCCTTCATGTTCATCCCCCAGTACGTTGCAATGCATCAAATGTTGCAGGGAGAGGTTTCTGATTGGCCATGCAAAATATCTTGTCTCCACTTTAAACGTAGTCCTGCATTTCTGCAAGGTTGCGACAACTTCTGGTTCTGAGCTGGAAGACATGATTATCCAGCATTCTTCTTTCCATATTCCTCTCTCACCATTTGCATTTTCCAGCGCTGATTTCCTGGGCAGGCCCACAGCTCCAGCCTCAAAGACAGTTTCGTAGAGCCAACAAAGTAGTTTTTCCAGCTCATGCTGTGTTGAAGATTAGATCCCGCTCTTGATTTTGTGGGGCTCTAGGCCAATGTTTTTCAAACTTGGAAACTTTAATATGAGTGGACTTCAACTCCCAGAATTCCCCAGCCATCTTTGCCAAGTTGGAAAAACACTGTGCTAGATTCAGTGTGCAATTTCTGTTAGCTTAAATTTCTGCCAGCTTTTTCTCATCAGAGAAAAAAGGTAGGCTTTTGAATGATGGATTTGGAGACCGTGACTGAGGGTCAACACTGACACCATGGCACGTAATCAGTTGAGTTTCTTTAATTGCAATCAATTAGCGCTGGAGTTAATACAGGCTGGCGATTCCCTTGAGGCCATGATCAGCAAGCGGAAACTCACATAAGTTGGTTATTTGGTGCAAGTGGATGATGGACTAGAACAGTGTTTCTAAGCCTTAGCAACTTTAAGATGTATGGACTTCTACTCCCAGAATTCCCCAGCCAGCCTTGCTGGCTAGGGAATACTGGGAGTTGGTGTCCACACATCTTAAAGTTGTCAAGGTTGAGGAACACTGGACTAGAAAAAAAAGATTGTGCTTGGCAAGATTAAGAGGATGAAGGGGAAGAAAACAGATCAGACAGATAAATGGCATTAAATTTGTTTCAGGAATGCCCTTGGAAGTTTTACAAATAGCTACCAGGGACACATTGAGACTGGGGGCATTTATCTTTTCAGATTTTGAACTAAACTCAATGGAACCTAATCATTAACTATGTTTAACAATTAATATCATATTTCAAAGCTCATATAAAAGTTTTCTGCATTTTGTAAACCTTGCCAATCATTTTCCAATGAGCTTTTTTTATTCCAGTGGTGTTGATTTATATAGTGTAGTTCTTGTTATTTTCTCCTCATATAATCTCACTGAGAGGAAGGAAATTGAAACCGAGGGATCCATCCTTTTGTTAAATGATCAAATTAAAAAAAATCAAGGTGCTGCTGCAATTGGAGCTCTGCCTCTTCTCACATATATAAAACAAAGCTTGGATCATAATGTTGTGGCCACCATCTTGCCATTTTTTTTTTAACGTACCCCGCAAGATACCCTTGATTTCATCCATCTCACTAAAGCTAAAAAAGTGATTTCTTCATTTTAAGAGCAACCAGGTCTCCCTCATTTTTCTTTCCTAATTTAATAAGACTCAGGCAGTCATCCAGTTTGCCTTAGGCAATGTACAGTATAGAAATATAGCATTAAAAGATTTCAAACAAGAATCTAAGATAACATGGAACAGCCAATATATGGATATATACTACTTGAAACAAAAAAAAAGTAGGTAGCCATAGAATAAAATATGAGAATGTGCTCATGATCTGAAAATTCTTAGGCAAGGGCTTTGCTTTTCTTTAAACAAAGAAATCTGGATTGAACTGAGTGTGAAACCTTCATCCCCAGGTGAATTCTAGTTGCCTAGGCAACAGGTGGGGGGACTTCTAGTTGTCTTGACGACAAAGTATTCCACCCACTCACCTTCCCCCAAGGCTTTTAAAAAACCTGCACTGTTTTCTGGCTCTGGAGGTAAATGGATGGCTTTTGGAGTGCTAGAAATGGCTCTTGCAAATCACTGAATGTAGGTATGTCTCTTTGGTTAAGAACCAAATATAAATAAGCCAACTTAGAATGAAAGCAGTGAACCAAAGGCAGGGAGATTAAGCGGGAAATTATTGGGCATTCCCTGTTGTGGAAGGGAGGACATAGCAAAGGAGTCAACCACTGTTTATGTGTCCCATGGATCTGACATGAGTTATGTGCTAGCTTATAAATTATATTGCTTTCCATTACACAGACACAGTGGCCAGCTTCACTTGGAATATTAAAACCTGATGTCCTGGGAATGTTTTGGTTTTGTTTCTTTATATATTTGTTTTGCTTTGCCTAGTTTGCAAATCTATCCAGGTTGGCTTTGTGACTGCGAACAAGCAAATCTGGTTCCTTCAACAAAATTGGTGTCTGTCTGTCTGTCTATCTATCAATCACAGAAGTTATATGTAATCACAGGTGACATGTTCCCTGCCTGCTTTATAAAAATGTGGATACTCTTAACTTTGTGGTGGGATGGAGATGTCATTAATTAATTCACATCTCCTAATTATGTAGTCAGAACATTTCCTCTTTGAAAAAAATGGTAATCCCTGGCTAAATTGCTTCAGTTTTTTCCCCAAGACACTGGTGGTTCTTCTCAGTATAATACTCCCATTGCCTCTCGTTCCATTCTGGCCAGACAGTCAGACCTTTCCTTCTCCTACATTGTCACAGAATTTTGTCTTCCTGAGAAAAGCCATAACATAACAATACAATCTGGCAAATGCTTGTGCAGAAGGAAGTCCTTATATTCCATGGGGGTTATTCTGTTTTGTATTTAAAATTGTAGACATCTTAGTGGAAATGTGGCCTGAAACTTTCATTACTTGTTTCCAAACAGGACTTTGTTTCCTTCCAAATTTTATTTCAGACATTTCCCTTAGCTGATTTTTGGTTTTATAAAAACAAAATCACAAAAAAGGTGCCTCAGTTTTTCTGATATCCATAAACATCAAATTAAAAACACCATTGAAAACTACATTTTTTTATAACTAAACCCATTCCCTCGTGCCACTAAAAAGGTAAAACCTCATTTGAGTTGAACTCAACACATGGTGACTCAACAATACACAAGTGGTTTGCCTTTGCCACCCTTGAGATTTTTTTTACTTTCCAGTCTCATACAAACCTGGTATTTCTTGGTGGTCTCCCATCAAAGACTAACCAGGCTCATCTCTGCTTAGCTTTTCAAGATCAGCCAAAGTTGGTTAGGTGCTTCCGTTGTGGGCTGTATTATGAAGGCTTCCTCCTTGCAGCCTAAGAAACTGTTATTGTGTTCTTCTGTTTTTTACCTCTCAACAGGTGTAGATGCCCCCAAGCTGCCTCTAGTTCCCTCAAAAGATGCGGGCGAGAACTTTGCCAAAGGACCAGAGAAATATGGCCAAGAAACACCACATTTGAAGAGCCACCATCGTCTTCTGGTGTTTCAGTCTAAGATAACTACCGATGTTCATCCAGAGAAAGAGCCTCCATATGCCCCCAAAGTTGAGCAGTGCTATTGCCAGATTAACTGGCCACAAGCAGTGCTGCAAAGGTGGGCCATCGAGAAGGCAAACCGGGAGAAGAACCTCAGCCAGGTCTTCAGCCAAGGACAAACCTTTAGGAATAGAGAACCAGAAGCTAAGAAAGGGGACCTCCAGGAGAGCCCTGAAATGGCATCACAACCTCAATGCTCAGATGATTAAAGAACATGGAATTATATTGGCCCTTGTTGTAAGAATGTAGTCCAGACTTTATGGGATTGGTTCATTTCAGACCCACAGTTCTCAGACCCATCTGCAGGTTGTGTTCAACTAACAAAAATTGATATCCCTTGAAGGGCTTTGTGTGGGCAGGGACATTTTGTTTTAAATGTGTTTCTAGCCTTTAAGTTTTTGTAATAAAAATAAAAGCAGTCCTGGTGATGTCTCATAATCTAGAACAGGAATGGGCAGCCTGTTTATGACCTAAGCGCTACTCTGTAAATTTTTCAACCACGAAGAGTCCTAGGAAGCATGATAGTTAAGCTGTTCTATCACTGAAAAAAGTGATTCTAGAATTTCCAGCCTCATTAAAAATAAAAACTGAAACTTTACATCACTGCAGGCAGATTTCATCAGCAGGATCCAAGGTGGTTCTGAGACCCACCAAAATGGGGCTGGGGTCTGCATGTGGTCCATGAGATGTTGGCCCTTCATCTAGAATGAGGCTGATCCAAATTTGGGATTTAGGATTCTGTATAAGCAATGTTCATCCATCAGTTGAAGCAGTCAGTGTATTTTTTTAAGTCCCAGAATAATCAGAAATGCTAACTTAAGGTAATTGTTTTTTAAATTATTTAATGAGATAAGGGTCTACAGAGCTAGAACAAGTAAAGCTCCTGAAAACATGGACTAAGATTAATCTTCTTCCAGATTTCCAACACTATAGGAGGAGAATCATGTTAGACTAGTATTTCTCAACCCTAGCAACATTAAGATATGTGGACTTCAACTCCCAGAATTCCCCAAACAGCATGCTGGCTGGGGAATTCTGGGAGTTGAAGTCCACATATCAATGTTGCTAAGGTTGAGAAACACTGTTAGACTATGGTAGGAAAAAAACAAATGAAGTGAAGTGAAAGCAGAAGGGACCTTAGAGCTCCATAGTGAAAGTCAAGGTAGGGTCTGACATTTTTCTCTGGAAGTCTTCATCGAACCGCTCATTCTGAGCCACTGTGAAGTGGTTCTTCCAGTCACCAACCGTCCCTGTAAGGCAATCACACCATATAGTTTGCTTGGAAATTTTAATAGATGCTTTCTACAGGAGCCTTAGAGATGGTGAAAAAGCACACTTGACATTAATTTCCTCTGATCTTACTGTACTGCAGTTACCAACAAGAGGTAGCCGTAATAAGAATCTCCTGGTGGGAAACCTTTTTAAGTTTGGCCTTTCAAAGATACTAAATTGTCATGCATTACTGTATCTAATTTGCCACCTCCTTCCTATAGTGTACCCTAATTGGCTAATGCACAAGTATGAAAGCTAGTAGCCCACGTGCTAGAAGATGAGCAGACAGGTCAGGGTGGCTTGCAAAGGGAGTCTAACCAGGCAGAAAAGTGGGGTGCTCTCAGAACCCTTCATGACCCTTTTGCTCAGCAAATGCTGAAAATATTAGAGAATAAAACGATATTAAACTGTCCCAAGGCTGACCCTTTCTAAGCAAGCTCTGTGACCACCTAAGGATCTGCAAACATCTCATCCTCCCCTTTTGCGCTCTCAGATTTTGGTAAAACAATGTCAAATTTAGCAGAACGATATTTGTATGTCTGGCAGAGTTTTATCACAGTTAAGGAAGTAAGGAGAACACCCACGTTCTCTGGCAATATCTTCGTTTCTGCAAACAGGAAAGTGATTAACTGAGCAAGGCAGTGACTCTGAGGATGCGTCCATTTCATTGGTGCTCTTTAATAATTCTTGTAATTTTAGTTTCATCCTGAAAAGCCTCTCAGTGCCTTGTAGGCCCCTCCTTCCTCTGATCCTTTCTGCTTTTCCCTCTTTCTGCATTCACTCAAGTGCATTCCCTGCTGAATTATGTAATATCTTTTTCTTTTCCCTGTCTTTTCAGTTGTCTCTGCAGTACTGTTAGGCCAATCAATCATATCTTAGCCAAAGTAGAAAAGCCTCCGATCCTTTCTGGTGGAACGTACTCCTTTGCTGGAGCCTAAAGAGTTGCTGACTTTCTCCACTGCACAACCCCATTGTGATAAAGTTGGCAGGAGGGAATGGGGAGACTGTTGGCCATCCCCCTTCCTTTTATTTCACTGATTATATTAAATTCCCCATTGACTGTTAACTGCTTAAGATCTCTCTGTTGGTCTGCAGACTGTACATTGTAACTCTTCAATATCAAGCAATTATTTGATTTCCCTGTACGCCATCAGCCTCAAACATTTTTTGATATTTTGTATCTATTGATATGTTGTATCGATTGACTATTAATAATAGCTTCATTTTTGGATTTCCTGAATGCCTAAGCCTGTTTAATAACCTATAATGTCTGGTCCCTGATAAATTGGCATGGAAGGATGCCCCAGTTCCTTACACGCATATTCCAAAATACAGATTAAGGACCTGTACGTCACTAGCACTCCTCTACATTTCTTGAAATGTAGGATACTTAAGCACAGTTCACTTCGAGTGACCTGACTTGGAGTGGGAATAGGTGTACCTTTCCGCATGAATGGAGAAATGGATTGGTCCATGGTAGAGAGGGACACACCAGCCCGGTTGACCATGGGGTTGTGCTTCATGACTTCAAATGAGGTATGATGGACAATCTTGTCCAGAATTGCCATGTCTAGTTGCTTCCCTATAAACTGCATCACCTTCTGGATTTCACACTTAGGGTCCTGTAGGAGATGGAACGTAGCAGAGGTGGGTAAAAGGGAGGCAGAAAAGAATGGATCATGGAACTTTATTGAAAAAGACTTGAGAGAACATGGGTGAGGGCACTTCCACCAGACCCCAAACCTTCCAAACCGATTCATGGTGTGCCATGATTACCTTACCACCACCAGTTTGCAACAATGCTCAACTGTGAAAAGTTCCCTCCTGGCTGTCCAAGAGAAACACATAAGTCGGCAGCCTGCTAGCAACCCATCCTCATGCTAACAAAAATGACCAGCCACAATGAGCAACTCTGCAAAGCCACAACCCTATTTACTTTAAAAAGATGACTGAAAGAATGCCATGGCCCCACATACCTTAATTCGAGCAGGGAGGCAGAATGAGGCAAAAAAAAAAAAAAATCTTGCCCATGACTGCAGTGATTCCTACTCTGCAGTAGCCGAACTGGAAATTCATAGGCTCTGCTATTCAATAGAGATGACGACTTGGGATCACATGGACACAGCTGATCTGGGAGCAACTGAAATGCAGTAGGCGGAGGGGGTTTTTACGTGTTGCCTCTTGGCCTAGCTACTTGTAGGACATAGTTCTGAAAACTGGCAATGGCTGGCGTTGTGATGGAAGGGAATTATGAAGGCCAAGCTCAGGGAGACAAACATTTTCTTAGCTCGCCA